GAGTCACTCGCAGTCCCCAGATTAACACATCTAACAAAGACAGATGGATAAAGGGTCAGTGACAAAATTTCATCTTTGTTACAGACAAACAGTTTAGTGATTATATAAGTATCATTGTTTACAATGTCCAAAAGCTGAGAGCAATCTTAAAGATGTGGAAAAATGGGTGCTTAATTGTTTTGAACTAACTTTGTTTTTACTTAACTTGACAGATAATACTTTATTAAAGGTGTAAATCCAAATAAATGTACGTAAAGTAGACTTTCATGTCTATGCCTTTTGATCTTTACACTTTGCATTTGTCAAATTAAAAGTTTTTCTGCACCTTTTAATGAGCAATTCCAGCGTTATGGATGTGAAATTTACAGTAAAAACTTGAAAGTATATGTAAACGTTATATTAAAACATTTGTTCATATTTTCCAAAACAACTAACCAGAGTTATGGGATCAGAAAAATATCAATCTGTATACAAATGTTATGTTTTAAATGAGGAAATGGGTTATGAATGTGACCAAAAACAGTCTGTGAGTTTACAGTACAAACATACTTTGTAAAAATTACATAAATTAAACTGCACAACCCTAAAGAAACAATGCTATTCAAAAGGATAAGAGTTGGCTCTCCATAAAACAAAAGCGATTGATTTTTATTTTTATTTTATATTTTTGTGTTAATTGAGGAAAAAGCTTCGTTATGGATGTGATAGATGTGAAATTGCTACTTGTGTGACTTTGATAAATCAAATAAAAATGTTTGAAATCATTTACTGCAAAATATCTACCAAAACTTACAAAGGATTTTGCCATTTTGGTGGAAACTATATTTTTTCATGGTAAGGTTGACATTTACATTTGCTCTAATCTATTATTTTAATAATGATTTGTTATTTTTTATAGAAATGTTTTTTTTTCTAGGTGTTGACTAACCTAAGTACATGTTAAATATTGACTACAATTTGACAACTTTACCACCGCATACAATTACAATTATGCAATTATAAATATTTTAAAGTGCAAGTCATGCAATTCAACTTTCAACAGCATATTTGTACTAATCTTTACACTTTAATTGTATTTCAAACTGTTATACTACCTCTACAATAACTATAATACACTGTAATTAAATTGTTTTCAAAAACATGTCAAACTGACCTTCAGTATATTTTTTAAAGCATGTTTAATTTAAACCCTGCAAAAGTGTGTCTGTCTTTTAAAGAGGAGGATTCATTTCCAATCATTTTTGGTTGGAAAAAAAGAAGAAAAAAAACTTAACCTTTCAATGATATTCAATTAATCCTCCAAATTAATTTTGTTTTCAGATATTTTGGTAGACATATCTGACTATGTATTATTCTTTCTAAATAAAAAAAATTACTATCACAGATTTACACAATGATTTAAAGAAAACACTAACTCAAATATTATTTAGCCTATAAATAGTTTATATAGCAAAATCTCAAAATCTTGTCAGACCTATTTAGACCAAGAATAATTAGAACAACTCTGTTTAAGGATCACAGTCCAGCTCTGAAAAATAAGTAAACTTAAGTATCATTTTAAACATTTCTATTAAGCATTTATTATAAAAAAAAAAAAAAAAAAAAAAACATAAAAAATGTAATACAATAAAACTTAGTTTTACCACTTTTTCTTTTACATATTTTAATAAATCTAAAGAATAAGTATGTCATTTCATGTTTACCTAATTATAAATCTGTTACATGGAATGAAAAATATATTTTTTGACATTTTATTTCCCAAAGCAGTATCTGAAACACTAAAGCAGGCATCTTACTTTTAAATATGCTTTTATGAATAGAAAATTAAACCAAAATGGATCTTTAACCAAAAAAATCTATTAAGATAAAAAAGATAAGAACCTACACAGAGGAAAGGAGATAAAATCCTATAAGGACAAAAACACAAACACACAACAGGTCAAAAGTTTGAGGTCAGTTTTTTTTTTTTTATGTTTTTTTTTTTAAGAAAAATAATTCTGTTAACCAAGGTGACATTTATTAAATGTAAAAAATTGCTAAATATTTGTTAATTTTAAAAAACTGCTTTCTTTTTGTATGTATTCAAATGAAATTATTACTCCAGCCATTATTGCTTTTATTACTATTACCATTAATAAGAATATTATTAATAAAAATAACAGTAATAATAACAACTAATATTAAGAGTGATTTCTGAAGGATCATGTGACTTTGAAGACTGGAGTAATGAAGCTGAAAATTCAACTTTAAAATCACCGGAATAAATTAAATTATGAACTACATTTGAACAGTTATTTTATAGTGCAATAACATTTTACAATTGTACAATTTTGTAATGAAATAAAAACAGCCTTGGTGAGCAGGAGAAGCTTATTTTAAGACATTTTAATAACCGACTTACCCCAAACTTTTGACTGGTAGTATAATTCTTCAATTCATTTAACAAACACAACAGCAAAAAAAAAATACATTAAACAATGTATTTAGCAATTAAGACAACCTTTTAAAATCTTGTTTCAATCTAAACTATTCTCTTTAATTTGCCCACAGCACAACCTGTTCACCTTTCTATGTCGGGAAAGATGGGAATAAAAGATCTGAAAGAGTCATGATGGAGAACGCTTGCCTAGAACAGCACCGCAAGAAAAAGTCCTAATTCAATTTGCTTTCAAGTGGAAATGAATCTAAATGGGAAAATCAAGGCAAGCTGGCAGCCTGAATATTGAAAGCATCTGAAAAATGAGGCAAAAGCACACACGTGCAAATAGTTTCTCATCGCTAATGTCAGAAAGCACAAAAGTGCTATTTATCAACTATTTATTACTAAGCTCTTGCTGTTGTCTCTAGCCCGGTTGGACTCCTTTGAGGCCATGAGCAGAATATGTTATCTAGTGTCAAATTTCCCTACATGAGCTTTCCCAGAAATCAAGCCCAGTTCAGTCAAGCCTTCAAATACCTGCTGTGCAGCTCGGGTAAATCACATCAATGAAACATCCATCTACTGTACTCAAAAAAGACCCCCAAAAACAGAATGATCTCATCTTTTAAAACCACATTCATACTGACAGATGACTTCAGCTGTGAAAAAGTCAACATGAAACACAATTCACAACCTATTCACTTCAGCAGTGTGGAATATTTATGTGTGACGGAATATTCAATGAAGAGAAAGTAGGACGAGACTTGGATCATGACAGTTGTGTATTGCAAATGAGAACATGTGAAAGGAATGCTGTCTGAAACACCGCAGGTACCCACATTTGAGTAGATTTTTTTACTGGAGACTAAAGGTTTTGCTTGATTTCAGGAACAGCTCAAATGGATCACAATCAATGTCAACATCAAAGGGTTACTTCACCCAAAAAATGAAAAATGTCAATAATTACTCACTCTCGTGTCGTTCCAAACTAAAGCTTAACGATGAATTGTAAATAAAATTGCATTTACAATTTAGCAAAAGCTGCGATTGTCTTGCACAGGAAATCTGAGTAAAGTACAGTTTTGTGATAAGTAGTAAATTTACTTCGAAGACCAGAGTCTTTCATGCAGATGAAATTTCCTCAGGTCTTTGGATAATCATGCATTCAGACGTTAATGTCCAAACACGTCTTTATATAAGTTTAGTATTGTTTATGCAGATGAAATATAACACAGACAACACGATTTAAATATTTTGCAGTTGGCTAGATATTAACTAAGTCATACAAACATCTTTACCGATGCCTCTCTAATTGATGGTTGGTCAAGCGTATCAATCATGTTTGTAGTTTATTTATGCTTTTCACCCACGTTTGTAGTTCTAATTGAATTCACGTCCAACGAGCAGTGTACTGTGGCCAATATCAGTGGTTAGAGCATGGAGGGTTCTACAATTCTAATTTTAACCAGAAATAGTAAACCATCCTGGATCCTTTGGCATACTCTTTTTGAAATACTATGATTTAGGACATACTAGCTCTATTTTCAAATACTACTAATAATAATAATACATTTTATTTGTAATGCGCTTTTCTTAAACTCAAAGCGCTACAGGCAAAAATACTAGCAACACAAGGCAAGCAAACAGCACAACAATAAAAGATGCAATTAAACAATAAAAATATAAACCATAAGACTGATAAAAAAAAAGTTAACAAAATGATCATCCTAAAGTTAAAAGCAATGCTAAAAAGTTGAGTCTTAAAAAGTTTCTTAAAACAGTCCAGAGAGGCAGCATTCCTAATGCTAATGGGGAGTGCATTCCACAGCTTAGGCGCACTGTGAGAAAGCCCTCCCACCCATGGTCTTAAGTTAACTCCGTGGCTGATACAAGGTAAGTCCCGATGCAGAACGAAGACTGAATATTAACTAGTATTTAGGATGGATAGTATGTGAATTGGGACGCACCACAGGAAATGCCAATCGATGGCAAATCTCTATAGCATAGGATAAACATAGGATATAATTGCTTCCATTTGATTCAACAAGATTAATAAACAAATGACCCCGACAACATATGGTTTATCAGAGTTCTTCATATAATATTTTCCTGATAAAATGTATGTAATGATGCAATGCCTTTGTCACTGTTTAAAAATGCTATTATATAAATATGTTGCATGATTTATTTTGTGTAAGAAGACGCATCATTTCACAGGACACTGGATTAAAGCTATGAAGTATATTTTTGACAAAAAACGTCATTATACAGTATGTGGTATTTGTTTGTGCTTTCATGTTTAACACTACCAACATTTACTACAGCCATATTCCAACCCCCCGATACCTTCATTAAACTTCTGAATACAAATGAAGACATTCTAGATAAAATCCGAGAGCTCTCTCTCAACCAGAAAAATGACTTTATTCAATAGGAATCTATTCAAGCTGCAAGACTTTTTAAATAGTTTCTTCTCAGGATTAACTGCTGATTTAATGCTGTTTTACAAATTTGACTATTTGAGTCCACTATTTGTTTAAGAGAACTGAGTGGCTAACAGTGCGGTCAGAGTTGCACTTACACTGCAGAGGGTCTTTCAGTGTTGGGTGCAGGAGAGCTCTGGGGGTCCCATGGAACAGATTCAGCCTAAAAAGAAACATGGTTGTTAATAGTAATAATTAAAAAAAGACCAAAATATTATGTTCTAAACATTGTGCAACAGATCAAATAAACACCACCAGTAATGTACGTGATCAGTAGGTTTTATTTAACACAAATGTTTTAAATCAATAAGAAAATACTAAAGTAAAAGTTGGGTAACGCTTTAGTTTAGGTCATAATTCCTGATTACCTGCCTATTGTTAGGATATTAACTGTTCATTAGTAGTTATAAATTATGATCTTATTCTACCCAACTACCACCTAACTAGCTAATTAGTAGTTTATTAAGCTAGTAGTGTTAGTGTGACCTAAACCAAGTGTCACCAAAATTAATGATGCTTTTGAATTGTCCATCGACCAAAAAAAAACACACTTGAATCATATTTTATGATTCACATCTTGTATCCTTTTCCAACTCACGTTAAATTTTAAAAGATAGGTAATGATTTAACAATTTACTAATGCTTAATAAGGGTGTCACGATCCTCCAAATCCTCGATTCGATTACATTTTCGATTCTAAACGCACGATTCGATTCGATTTTCGATCATGAATAATTAATTAATTAATGACCAATTAATTATTTGTAGCCTACTGTTTAAACTACCTGACCTGGATGGTCTTTGTTTAACCCATAAACAAATCATACAGTAAATAAATAAAGGCAAGTTACACACATAATTACCACCTGTCAATCACTTTTTCTGCGGGACTCGTGAATAGGCAGTGATCTGTGTCGTTATAATGGCGTCGGTAAAAAAGACGCACAACCAACAGGAACCAGCCAACAGTATCTGAGGTGTTCGCTAAAATGACTAAGTACAAGTGAGTGAAAGATTGAAGCAGTCCTCTGACTGCCTGGACCTGCTGTCTCGAGCGCAAGGCTGTATGTGCGTCTGTGTCTGTGTGGTCACGTGATGTGCATTTTCAGAGGCAGAGAGGAAGGAGGGCTGCTCAGAAATGCCACACGCCACTGTGGATGTCAAATCGTTGTCGTTCTAAAATGCCATTTAAAAACAAAGACAGTGTAAACAGGGCCTGAGTGTGTACTTTTCGCAAGCGGATTTGCAACGGGGGGCAGGCGGAGGATTGCGATGCCGGTGTTGTCTATTGGATGAACCATACGTAATACGTACATAGCAGAGCTTGCAAAACTGTGTTTTTTTGTCGACAACAGAACGTAACTCACTGGAAATCCAAAATGCTTAAACACCGGCGACTTCATTGAAAGAGGAGAGGGTTTAAGTTCTCTCGACGGGTCTCCTGCTTCTGCAGTTTAACAAGCACTTCAGCAAGCCTGTTTTTTTCCCGCTTGCCAAGCCAAGCTGACATGGGGGCGTGGCAGCATCGACGATTCTATTTTTTGATTCGATAATCGAAATTGAGCATAAATTTCAATCGATTTCGATTAAAAATCGAAATCGTGACACCCCTTATGCTTAATAAATTATTCATAGCAATAGTAGTTATTATAAAGTGTTACAAAAAATATATATATAAAAGAATATTTTTTTTATTTAGATTTCATAATATGTAATAACATAACTCTGCCACCAACTGGACTAGAAGCCACAGCATGCACCGCGCACACACACACACCTGTTCCTAATCTCGTCTGATTGCGAACACTCAGAGCTGAAGCTGTTTAAGGATCCAAAACACAAACTATTCATACACCCCTTTGCTTACACACATGGTTGAGTGTTGTTTGTTTGTTTTATTAGTTAAAACAAACCTGTAACTCTATGTAGTATTTTCATTTCCTTGTCTAGCTGTGTTTTTTGATTCTTCTGTTTTATGTTATCTACTCCTAGCCTTGTTCCTAGTTTATCTGATCTTTCTCTGGTTTTGACGACATGCCCGTTTATCGACGACGACTTCCGGATTATCTATATATACCCAACTGCTCCTGTTGTAAACCCTTGCCTGATTTACAATAATTGTAAATAAATCCACATTTGGATTCGCACCACTGTGAAAGCCTCCTTCAGTTACAAGCACTTAATTTTCTAAAGTATAATGAATGAAATTCTTTGCAAAAAATGTCATAAGCCAAAATAAACTCAAGAAAAAAGTAAGAACTGTTCCAACTCATTTCTGAAGTCAGATATGCTGTATCTGCTGTTGAACAGATTATCTTCATTGTTCAGTGTGACACAGAGAACATGAAATTACAGAGTCATTAAAAGAGTTATGAGAGCTACACAATCAGCTCTTTCTTCAACTGAATAGCAAGCCAATTATAACAAACCCACTTTACTCGTTACTGCTTCCAGAATTTGCTTCATGGTCAATAAGACTTACAGGAGTTTCATCTTTCTCACTCAAGAAAATGTCCATTGTGTACTCTTGTGAGGTAATGACCATTACCTGTCCTCCCCCTGAGAGACGCTGGACTCTGCGTGACCTGTGAAGAGCTGGAGGAGTCCAAAACCTGACCCCACTGCTTCCTGGGTACCGTCTGCCCGGGTAGACAGAGACACCAGCTCTACCACTGCCATCACTGAGCTCAAACACAGGGAAGTGTGAAAGTACACAACCTATAGAAAGACAAAGGCAGGGTTACACTTTTTATAACAGAGGAAGTGATGTTTGTTTGGAAAATGGAAAAAGTATTTCAATAGCGCTTTTGGTGGTACACACTGTTTTAAAGTAGCTGTATAGAGAGCCATGATGTTATAGGGACAACTGACACAAATAAATATTCCTCCTTCGCTGGTTCCAAACCTGTACACACTTTTTTTAACAAAAAAAGAAGATATTTTGTGTAGAACCAAACAATTGATTGTAGCTGTTGACTTCTATTGTATTTTTCTCTCACCTACTATGGAAGTCAAAGGCTACCGCCAACTTTCTGGTTAATACCATGCTTCAAAATGTCTTCCTTTGATTTCAACAGAGTAAGTAAGAAACTCATAAAGGTTTGGAACAAATGTAGGGTGAATAAACAGGAGAGCGGCCATTTTTGGGTAAACTACTTCTTTAGTATTTATAATATCCATTATATTTTAATATCTAATAAAGTACCTTTCCTTCATATTTGGTCTGATATTCTAGTTTAGAGCTCAATGTAGAGCTGTGCAATACAAACAGCCAAGCTTTGCTATACAATACTCTATTTGTTGCTTTATGTAATTATAGCAAATAGAAAAATTAAGCTATAAAAAAGATTAAATTCAGCACTACAATGAAGGGTGTGTTGCCATTTATGATATAATTTTGAAAATATGTGCTTTTTGATTACAGCACTGTCTAAAAAAAGCTTGATAGTATTATACCTTTGAAAATGATCACTTTATTGATCTTTTAAAGAGTAAACCAAATATAAACCAATCACAATATAAACCTATACAAAGCCAATCACATTGGAGCAACTCAATGCATTTATGCATGTAGACATGGTCAAGATGATCTGCTGCAGTTCAAACTGAGCATCAGAATAGGGAAAAAAAAAGTGATTTAAGTGACTTTGAACGTGGCATGGTTGTTGGTGCCAGACGGGCTGGTCTAAGTATTTTAGAAACTGCTGATCTACTGGGATTTTCATGCACAACCCTCTCTAGGGTTTACTGAAAATGGTCCGAAAAAGAGAAAATATCCAGTGAGCGGCAGTTCTGTGGGTGCAAATGCGTTGTTGATGCCAGAGGTCAGAGTAGAATGGCCAGACTGGTTCTAGTTGATAAAAAGGCAACAGTAACTAAAATAACCACTCAATACAACCGAGATATGCAGAAGAGAATCTCTGAACGAGCAATACATCCAACCTTGAGGCAGATGGGCTACAGCAGCAAAAGACCACCACGGGTGCCACTACTGTCAGCTAAGAACAGGAAACTGTGACTACAATATTATTATATTTTATTTTCTTAGCAAACTATGGGCACTTTATTACCAATTGAGCATCATGTCAACGCCACAGCCTACCTGAGTATTGCTGCTGACCATGTCCATCCCTTTATCACTACGGTGTGCCCATAATCACCAGATCTCAATTCAATAGAGCACCTTTGGGATGCGGTGGAACAGGAGAATTGCATCTATGGAGTTGCAGACAACAAATCTGCAGGAACTGCGTGATGCTAGCAAGTCCATATGGGCCAAAATCACTGAGGAAGATTTCCAGTACCTTGTTTAATCTATGCCACAAAGGATTAAGGCAGTTCTGATAGCAAAAGTGGGTCTAACCCAATACCAGAAAGGTGTACCTAATAAAGTGACCATTGAGTGTATAATCACAGAGGGTTTTTTTTTTCAAGTTCATTCACATTGAGATGTAATTCTGCTTGTGCAGCAGAACCGGAGGTATTGTTATGTATGTCCACAACACAAGGCCTGAGGGAAGAATTACCCAAGAGCAATACTTAGGGTTAGGAGTTCAGAAAAAGTCCTAGAAACCCCCCTAACCTTACATTCAAGCAATAATAAAAGTGCTACTTGCTTTGACAAACACCACTAATAAAAACAGCACACAAAGAAATCTGAGGTGAGAAGGTGAGAAAACAGAGAGAGAAACACAAGGTTATGAACATAAAAAATATGGCATAAAGTGAGAAACTATGTAGGAGGAAGATTAAACCTGCAAAAAGGAGCTAAAGAAATGTCTAGACATAATGATTTGTTTTTTAAAAAAAGCACACAGAGTCCTGGTCTGACATCCTGTGGTTCTCGGAAGAATCTGGCCGGGGATGTCTGAGAAAGCGCAGGTCATCTCTCACGATTTACACCAGCTCAAACTGTCTCTGCAGAAATGACAAATCTCTCATACACGCACGGGTTCTCTCCCAGACTGTTTAGCCCAAGGAAATACTCATTTCCCAGAATAACAATCTTTTCTCACTTAAAGCTTTGAAGCCAAACGAGAGATGCAGGCGCCCATTAAAGTCTAGCAAACACTGAAGCAGTTTAACAATTATAAGAAACACCTACTAACACCACACCAATCAATAACAACAGCAGCGCTCATTATGCAGAAGGGGCTTCTAGGAAAAATAACAATACAACTTGATCTACACAAACATCAAAGAAAAGAATTCTGCGAAATCGGCTAAAGAGCACAGCATAATCAATACTAGCACCCTGCACACGCAGCACAGCAAGACACGTTTACTTAGGTCATTTGTATGCATTATTCAAACTCGGTTATACATCTGAAAACCAATAAGACGACCTTGTCTTTGTCATGTAACTGTAATTAGGAGACTATGTTTTCACAGCCTGATTAAAAGAGATAGCTGCCATGTTTTAAGTGGTGGAGGATTGTACAGGTTTGTTTGTTGTGTTGTGCAAAATTCCAAAAACCTGCATTTTTCTGCCTTATTTTAATGCTTAAAGGTGACAAAGTGTGTATTGATGCGTTGTGTTAAATTGTGTTTTTGAATCCTACATAGGTGATATGTGGCTTAGACAACTGTAAAATTCCTGATACGCTCATTTATAACCAGAGGAATTACCCCTAAAATTAAAAGTTTGATTTTGATCATATTTGGAACAGTCATGAATATTAATAAACACTGCTCTGATGCTCTACAACAGTTTTTTCAGTGGATTTTACACTCACAAGAAAAAATGGTGTTTGAAGCTTACGGTATGTCATTTTCATGTACTGAACTCTTACTGTCATTATATTCCCATTCTATTGTACCTTTAAAGTCCGTGAGACCTTAAATTTTGCTATGTTTATTTTGCTCGAAAACAAAGTACAGTTAAATTCCTTAGAACATGAGAACAGTCTGATAAGGAGAAAAGACACCACTGGGTGACACTGCTGTAAGCTGAGAAAAGGAAATTGAGAGTACAATTCACCAAAATCTAGCAATTAAAAAAGATTGATTGCTGCTAAAAACTTCAGATAGGTTTAAAATGAGGCATAAATGACATGAAAACATAGATTCATTCTACCTTGTATCGACAATTCAGACTAGTAGAGGTGTATCATAATGGGGAGATTTTTTCTTGGTGCACTTAGTACCATCTGGGCTTTGTTTAAATGTCACAGTACGGCTGATCATGTTCATCCCTTTTTGACCACAGTGGACACATATTGTGATGCTACTTCCAGCAGGATAATGTGCCATATGTCACAAAGCTCAAATCCCAAACTGCTTTCTTGTACATGACAATAAGTTCACTATACTCAAACCGCCTCTGCAGTCACTAGATTTCAATGCAATAGAGCACCTTTGGGATGTGGTAAAATGGCAGATTTATCTATCTTGCAGATCTATCAAACCTGCAGTATGCGACAATGTTCATATAGACTGTAATCACTGTTTCTAACACCAGTCCAAAAAAAGAATGAAGCCAGTTCTAAAGGCAAAAAAGGTACTAACATATAAATAAACCTTTTACACAGGAGAACCTTCAATGAAAAATTCTACCATAATGTCCTTCCCTGTGACAGTCACTGTATTTCAATTCCTGAGTCTTCAGATCATAAATCTTTAATGGAGCCTACAGCCCTTTATGCTTGGAAAATTCAAGCTCCTAAAATATCTCTCTACAAAGATTTAAATCTGTCCATTTACAAGTGATTCAACAGCATCCAGAAGTGCTCCAGATGATTTTATTTATTTTTTTGAGGGGGGTTGGATATGTGGGTCGATGATGCTTGAGTCTTAAAATCAGACCACAAGAGCTTCTGCTAAGTTTGGGTTGTGTGGGTTGAAAGGGTTTTAAACATGAGGATGCATAGCAGAGGTCGTGCCATTGTTTGAATTCACACTACTTACAGGCAGTAAAGTAGGATATAATAAAGTACAGGTTCATAGAGATCATTTAAAAAAACGAAACTCAAAAATTATTAAATAAAAACATAGGTGCTTCTGAAGTGGATTGATTCAAGATTTTTGTACTACAAATGCTAAAGAAATCAGAATTATTAGCCCCCTTTTGATTTTTTTCTCTCATTTTCTTGTCAACTTAGTCCCTTTATTAATCCAGGGTCACCACAGCGGAATGAACCGGCAACTTATCCAGCAGGTTTTTATGCAGCGGATGCCCTTCCAGCCGCAACCCATCTCTGGGAAACATACACACACACACGCACACACACACACACACACACACACACACACACACACACACAATGGACACTTTAGCCTACCCAATTCACCTGTACCGCATGTCTTTGGACTGTGGGGGAAACCGGAGCAAACTCCTCACACAAACACCATCTGAGCCGAGGTTTGAACCAGCAACCCAGCGACCTTCTTGCTGTGAGGCGACAGCACTACCTACTGCGCCACTACGTCGCCCCCTTTTGATTTTTTTTTTCTTTTTTTAAATATTTGCTAATTATTACCAGAGCAAGGAAATGTTCACAGTATTTCCTATAACTTTTACCTCTGGAAAAAGTCTTTTTTTTTTTTTGGTTAGAATAAAAGCATTTTTTAATATTTTTAAAGCCATTTTAAGGTCAATATTATTAGCCCCCTTAAGCTGTATTCTTTTTCGATAGTCTTCAGAACAAACCAACATTACAGTAACTTGTCTAATTACCTAATGTAACATGACAGTGTAATGCTGGACAACAGAGTGAGGA